CTTTTACTCATAAGTTTGTGAGTTATTGTGCTAAGAGTGACACTTTTTTTGTTATTTTCAAAGCAATGGATCAAAAACAATTTCGTGTTTTAATTTTACACTGCTTCCAGAAGGGAAAAAATACCGTTCAAACCAAGCAATGACTTGAAAATTGTGTTAAAAACTCCGCCCCATCAGAAACAACTATCAAACGCTGGTTTGCTGACTTCAAACGCGGTCTTCGACGCGCTATTTACAGGCACGCGTCACCGGCCCCCGGCCAGTACCGCCGCAACCGCTATGTCCTTGCATTTTAAATCTGTAATATCTTCGAAAATATTAATTCGAATTACATGCATGATTTATATCAAATGCACAATATATTTAAGATACTTAATTGGATAAGGATTAGGGCTGTATTGCTCGAAATCGCTTCGTAAATAAGCCATTATTTCTCGAGGATGAAAAATCGTTATTGTGGGTTATGACTAAGACATAGACATATATCATCGCGGACTTTTTTGTAGACTTTTAAAAAGTGTGCAATACTGTAGTACATTATTTGCCAGTGTTTGCAATATGAGCGCAAAAAAATATGTTTCTTTACGACGTCACATTAGAAACCTCTAAAATTTTCATTGTTTCTCTGATATATTATGCATGTTATATGCATAATATATTATCATTATATCTTGATTTATATCTTATTTAAAAAACCCGCATCAACCGCATACGTTGTGTAGTTTCAAAGATCTAAGCAAACATAGAGACAGATAGCGGGAAACGACTTTGTTATATACTGGTGATATTCGAAAATTGAGTTCTTTGTCGATCCTCTAGATGGCGATTTCGGAATTTCGACTTCAATTTCGAAATTTCAACTTCAACCTAGAGATTACGAATTTGATCAAGACATTTTAACTTTGAACCCGAAATTTCCAAGAAAAACGTGTGGCTGTTCTGTAATTTTGGTAAAATTAAAACCCATTATTGTCAAGAATAATGAAATTTTCCTCCTCCAACTCTGTATACAGTAGCGTTTATCTAGAAGTATTTTAAATATGCATCCAAAGATGTAAACTACGAAAAGGCATATATCATCAATATTCAAGTGCCAATCGTTTTCAGAAATTGAATTTTCTCAATTTGTTATGGCGCTCTTGCTGTATATAGATCTAATAAATGTGAGTGAATACTCCTGAGTGGGACGAGTGAATATTTTGTCTTCTGTCTCCTAGCTCTCATAAACCAACCCAATTCCAAATTTTATGTAGGAAATGTTCGGTGTCTGCGGACTTCCACAATATAAAAGTTTATTTTTTATCACGCACTCGGATTCCTTGGAATTTCTAATTCATATAATGGATCGTAACAAACACCCTAGAGATACAATTGGGTGGGATAGAGTGAGACATCAACAGGAATTGATGTCTCACTCTATGATGCCACATTATAAATGAAGAATTTTTTCATTTAGCCCACAGGATTGTGAAATGAAAACAATTGGTGAACGGTGGAAAAGGGCGAACAGAGGACGTAGGTTGATAAACAATATGGGATCTTCAAGAAAATTCGATAAAATTTGAAGATCCTTATGTAGTACAGTTCGAAGAGAAGAAAATGTAATTTCTTGCAATCGTGGCATTTTTATAAAATGGAACCACATGTCACCCCATGAGTTGAAGGTATCTTGGAAATTTAAGTTTTCATTTGAATCATTTTGGATGTACAGTACTGTACTGATCAATTGCTTAAAAAACATGGCGTTTGACAAAAAACGAGGCCTTGCCTTAATTTCTATAGTTTTAACTGTCAATTGCCGTTTTTCGTGTACTGTTGTCTCGTTACCAACTGGCCGGATAGCCTTAGTTGCTGATGCCATTGAATCGAAAGGAAGAAGAAGAAGAAGTGTACTGTTGTTAATGTTGGTGTATCACAATGAACATAAATTCTGCTGTTGTGGCGGCTTTGGAAAATTGTCGCAGTCAGCGCCAAACTGCAAGAAACGTTGGTATGGTCTGCTAACTCAAAGACCTGGTTCAGGGCGAGGCAGGACTACAACAGCTACGGAGGACTACTTTTTCGTATCAAGTGCTTTGAGAAACTAAACAGTTACCGCAGTTTCCCTTCAAAGACGACTCCGTACTGTTGGATTATCTTCTCGAACTAGAGCTACTCACCGCAGCTTTCACTGAAAGCCGGATTACAAGACTTAATTTTTCACGAGAACACTTGGCTTGGACAGTAGCGAATTGGAGGCGTGTATTTTATTTTCCATCACTTGAGAGCAAACTTTTGCTAACCTGCTCACGGGAGGTTTGATCCTCCACTTGAGACAGGTTCTGCGTACGCCGCTCAAGAATTTGGTGCAAGGCGGTTTCATAAGGTACCCCGCTCTTGAGGAGACGACTCAGTCGTTTCCTGGCTGCACCACCAAACCTTCTTTTTAGGTTCAGTTATTGGATCACGAATTGGAGAGTTTAGAACCTTTCGCTCCAGATCTAAATTTACAGAGTGGTCATTTGGAGTCGTGAGCTCGACATCCATCTCCTCTGTAGACTTGGCGTCAGAAATAATTTTTGAGTTCACTCTGTACATGAAAGTTCCACGAGTAGCTAGGGAAAGAAGGTCAATCACGGCAGAGCCCCGCATTACCGTGACAAGGGGACGAGGAGTCAGGCACTAGGTCACTGACTCCAGGGGAATAGCCGAGGAGGTCAGACCAGCCTGTCGAGGACGCTTATCCCAAGACCGTTGTGCGCTATGAGGAATAGCACCCTGCACGAGGTGGCTCTGCATAGCAGTGTACTCTCAATGCTCTGGCAGAGAGAGGGGATGTGAACCGAACACAACGGATCTAAACAAGGCACGTTGACAAAATCCTCCAAGTCAAGGCGTAAGTTACCGTGCTGAGGACTGAATGGCAGTAGAGTGAGCTGTCGAAAAACAGTACCTCTGAGACACCAGGTCGCATCTCAGAGTATCAAGACCTTACCGCGGCAAGCGGAGCTCTGTCGCGGCGGACTAAGTTTCCCTAGCTACTCATGGGATTCATATGGATTAAAAAAAAAGTAAAAAGTACCCCAGTGCAGTACTGGTGGCTGAAGTCACTGGTGGCTGCAGTACTGCACTGGTGGCTTCGGTACAGTACAGTACAGTACAGTTCAGGTCAGTACAGTACAGTACAGTGCAGTACTGGTGGCTGAAGTCACTGGTGGCTGCAGTACTGCACTGGTGGCTTCGGTACAGTACAGTACAGTACAGTTCAGGTCAGTACAGTACAGTACAGTGCAGTACTGGTGGCTGAAGGTAGAAATTCCAATTGCACAAGAGGCAAAATACTTGGGAGTCATTTTTGACCACAAGTTAACAAGGAATCAACACCTTCAACTCTAGCATACATGAGGGCACACACAATTGACCTGCAAAGGTCGCAGTGTAGTGGCTGTCTAGCACAAAAGTCCTATATTAATCTAATCTAATCTACCGTGACAAGGATATGCTACGATGAGAGGGCGCCCGGTATCTCGAAGGTTCCGTAGAGACAGCTGAAAGGCTCAGTGGCATTTATCCTCTCGGCACGGATACACACACCTCAAGATCAAGCCATCGTTGGGATGCCATTCAGTTAGAGAATAACAGAACCACAAGTGATTCTGTCATTCCCGTATCCATTGGAAGCAGGCATCCGATGGCCGGTTTGCTTAACCTCCACATCCCAAGCCAATGCACTCGCTAAAAACAGCATTCATAGTGGTTCAGGCAGTGAAACATATTGGTACCAGAATGAGAAAATCTTCCGCAGAATGTAATCCAGAATCTGATTCAAAGCATGCCTTCGTTTGCAAGCTATTGTCACCCCAAGAGGAGGAAACACTCGTTACATTTTTTTTTTCAACTAAATGCAGCCTACTGAAGTAAAATTGTTTTTTTTTCCAGGACTTGGTAAAATATGTGATCAGGAAGATCCGAAAAAATCGAGAAAATTCAAAATAACTTCAATTTACGGAGTGCCTCTTATCTCATGCCCGGCAGTGTATTTGCTATAAAAAAGTCACTCAACTTCAACCCCTCAAATTGGCAGTCACTCTTCCCCAAAGTCTTCAAATAGTCAATTGAATTCTCAGCGGTGTTTATTAACTTTGGTAAATCTTTTGACAACATATCACAAGATATACTTTCACAAGAACTTCAATATAATGGTGTCCAATTATTCATCATGCAGAACTTATGAAGTAAAATTGGGTGAAACGTTGAGTTGAACTTTAAAAATCCAAATGGGTGTACACCTAAGAACAGTGCCGAGACCAGTACTCCTCTTTGTGTACATCAACAATCTATCTCTTACAAGAGAGACACCTATTTGTTATACCGATGATGCGGCAATTGAATTCATAAAAAAAGTGAAGAGTTATATCTCGTAGACTGAAATTTACATGAAGGAAATGTCGATATGGCTTCAAAACGGTCTACTCACTTTCAATATAGCCGAAACGCGCGTGGAAAGCAGGGTTTCACTTCTGATGTGACAAAAGTGTTTTCATCGGATTAATTTTACGCCAGATTTTTCCGTTCCACCTATCATACATCAAAAAAGGATGAGAAACTTGCAAAGAAGGAAAGAAAGACCTAACTGGTTCAACAGTCATTGAATTCATTTTATTGTTCCGATAAATCTGAGAGCAAACTTTTATCATAATTACCTCTTACCTCTGTTAGTGGAATTGAGTATAATGTGCTTTTTTCGTTTTATTGTCGGGAAGAAATAATAGTTATTGACTTGGGTCTTTCTGAGCATATATGGTGGAAAATTTTCAATTTGAACATCTTTATTGATGTCACAAACCATTACAATGATGATGGATCCAGATTGACAGCGTATGTGCTGTCACTCTGTAACGTATGTGTAGAATTTTCAAATGCTTACAACGGATTCAAGTGTTGAAAACACTAATTTTATGATGATTCGACAATTTAATATGAAGGTTAAACAATATGCAATTATTATATACTATCCTTACTTGGAACAATATCGCCAAATCCTATCGTGGTCATGGTGATGAAGCAGAAATAGAATCCTTCAAAGAAAGTCCAGTCTTCTTCCCAGATAACAAAAAGTCCAGCTCCAGCAGCTAGATAGATAAATAGGAAGCACACAGCTGAAAACGCATAGGAAGACGTTCTTCTTGCTGTCATAGCACTCCTGTTGACAATAATATTTCATCACAAAAAATTAAAGGTTCGTGGTGTGTGAGGATGGAATAAGGTGTCATAAGGTCATCAATTCATAATCTTATTGGTTAACATATACATGAATAAGGAATATGAAAATCTACATGAAAATATAAAATTTATCAAATTTCACGATTCCACAGCTATTGCCATTACAACCAACTGCTCAACTTCCTAATAGTAATTTTTTTTAGACTCAGCTCACCAATATATCTACATCATCTGCATGCTTAGAGAAAAATTGTTATATACAACCATTATGGATGAAACAATGGGCTTGTTTCATGATTTTTGGTTTACAGTTCATTTGGTGGTAATTTCAAATTGAAAAATAGTGTACTTTGCTTCAGCTCTCTAAATAGCTTTGTTTTACCGTAATTAATTATTAAAAAGCGGATTTTCTAAGCTTGTGACGTCACGGGCCTAGTCCCGCTTCTTGTTCGATTGACCAATAGGAACAATACAAGTAATGAACGTTGCCAAATTGTAAAATTCACGGAGCTTATAAACAGTTTCTGATTCATTCGTGATTCAAAGTGAAATCACACTCACTTTCGACAACTAAATCTAAGATGAAAGTATAAGAAATGCATTGGAAGGGAGAATTAATTATACATGGGATCCAAATAACACAAAACGCAATGAAAACGTTATTTTTGAAATATCTCCGGCAGTAGACATTTTCATGTTGATATCACAGAAATTTTAATAATGGAAGTGTATATGAACCCGTTAACGTTTAAATTCATGAAAACATTCTCTATATAAAATAAAATGTACTCGAATACCATGATTGTAAATAGAATTTAACGAGCTATATTTTTGAATTGTTCCCGAAGGCCTATGAACACCCTAATAAAATAAATCAATTATGCATTCATGCCACCCACCAAAAATGAGAAATTCAACGTTATATATTAGCCATATTGCCACCCAGTCAGCTATCTCTCTTGAATGTATGAGACAATGTACTCTTTCTAATGTTTGTTAACTTCGTATTTTTGTTAAAATAATTGACACTTGGCAACACCGCTGTAGACACGATCAATTTCATTGGTCAACAGACACGCGGACAATTTAAACTCTTGCTTCTTGAATTTTTCTTTTTTCTGCAAATATAAAGAGGTATTGGGACCGATTAGGCTCGATAAGTATAATATACCCCTAACTCGATCAGTCTACCTCTCTTATGGATATAATGCTTGGACCGTATTGGACATAAAGTACAGGGCTATGCAGATGACTCAGTCTTTCAGGCAAGAGAACTGAATAGATACATGGCGTTGATCATGAGAGTTTTTCGCAGGAAAAGACCCAAAAATAAGTTATCAATGAAAAATTCTTATCTTTGACCAAATTTAATTATAGGATTACATGCATTTGTGTTGTGTTACATGAAAAATATTTTTCGGGATAATTTCTGATTTTCTACTTCTCCATCATCAAAAAAAATATAGAAAACTTCCAAATATAGAAAATGATTACAATAAAATTTCTTTGTGAATATATGTGAATGTATAAATACACATATAGAAACTGTCAACAGTGGCATACTACAACAGTGCCACTGCGAATTATTATAACCACCAATAAACTAAACATGTGAACTGTGAACATATGTTTGAGACGAGTGTTCGCTGGCCGATATATCGGCCAGCGAACAAACACATGACATCGCCGCAAAAGGAATGCAGTCTGCAACCGCCGATTAAACTCTAGTTGAGTACCGAAAGGACTATAGAATTCTAGAACCATCGTTACCGATATATAAGGCTGGCTTCTTTTCACAAGAGGGCAGTTGAGTTCAGAAAGTGAATCGAGCGGTTAAACAAGGAATTCAAATATTGTAAATAAATTGAGCGTTAGTTGCTAAGTGTTGTGAATAAATTAGTTTGTGATAGTGAAATATTACTAAAAATAAATTTGTTTGACATAGTTAATTCTTTAATTTGTTACAGTACGTAGACCTTATTTTTTGAACTGTCCACGTATGGAAGAATATTGATATAAAATGTCACCTACATGGAACACATCATCCTTAATGGTGTAGTTCGAAATTTCGAGGTAATCGACTTGTCTCGTCTCATCACCTCATTAGCAACTATTTCATAACATTACGATTTTATATCACGTTATGCGGTAGATATACACATTCATACGGTTAGGTAATTCCAGTCACGGTAACTTCATTCAAATTGAAAAGGCAATATTTTCTCTCCAAAAAAGCACTCGGAATTCATTTCTCTCTCTCTCTCTCTCTCTCTCTCTCTTAAAATGAACAAAGCTATTGGACAAAGATCAATTACAATCATTGGACCCAAATTATTCAATCTTGCTCCAGATCGTATAAAAACGGAATATGTTGTAATGAAGTTGCACTGAATTTAGTTTTAGAAAAACGACAACATAAACTTATTTATTCAATAACATACAGAAAGAAATGTGAAATGTTCAGTTTGAATGCTTGTAACTTCTGCTTTAAACTTCTTCATGTTCTTCTCGTCGACCTCAGGGTTGTGTATTTCAATGTCCTCTATTGGAAGTGGACATATTCTGTTGAAGGATCTCTTGACCATTCCAGTTGAAGTCCGAATGGTTGCAACGCGGTTGATACCATCCTTGCCTGGATGCACTGCCTCGATTCTTCAAAGCTTCCATACCATGGGTGGTTGGTTCTCCTCATTTATCAACACGATACTTCCCGTCTCTAATTGTTGTTGAGACGTTTTCCATTTGAGCCTTTGCTGAACTTCGGAAATGAACTCTTTGCTCCATCTCTCCCAGTAAGCTGAGTGATTTGCTGCATCCTTTCATATGACGACAATTTGTTTTGTGGTACGGTTCTCAAATCTGCATCTGGTACCCCAATGAGTGATCTTTCGACTAAGAAGTGTGCCGGAGTAAGAGGTAAAGGATCTGATGGATGAGTGGAAAGTAGTGTGATGGGACGAGAATTTACTATTGCCTCGATTTGCGTTAATGAAGAATAAAGTTCTTCGAAAGTAAGGAAGTTCATTCAATTTAATAAGTTCATTACGTGCGGCCTTGAGATTATTCAGAGTTATGGGTAGTGCTTGCTTTTCACGTTTTCTGTTTGCATTGTTTAGGAATTTGAGAATGTAAGCCATACACCTTTCGAGTCTATTAATATTTGAAAATTTTTCAAAATCAATCATTTTAATTTTTTTTGCAATATGAAATGAACTTACAATTCTCTTCAATTCAGGTAGGTCTTTAATGTCATCTGGGCCTTTTCCAGGCCACTCATTTTCGCTTCGCATGAGCCAAGAAGGGCCATGCCACCAAAGCATACATGAGACTAACCTTGCCGGCTTAACGCCTCTTGATAATGATAATGAAAGCTCACCGTTCAACTTTAATCTAGGTATTGTAATAGTGTGTAGTGGTGCCACTTTGGCCTTTGAGCACAACAAGTTGACGTGGATGCCGTCATCTTGATCAACTGATCTCATATATATGCTAGCACCATAAGCACTTTGAGATGCGTCACAAAACCCATGCATTTCTACTCGTTTCGGATTTTTGCAAAGAACGTGCCTAGCAATTTGTACATGATTTAAAGAAGAAAGTTCTGCTTTGAATTCGTTCCAGAACAACTCAAGATTCATAGGGAGGCGCTCATCCCAATCTAACTATTCTAACCATAGTTTTTGCATGATGATTTTTGATGTTATTGTAACTGGGCTGAGGAAACCAAGTGGATCGAAAATTGTGGAAATGCAAGAGAGAATTTTTCGTTTTGTAGCATTTTTGTTATCCGGTAGGTATATTTATTTGGAATACTAACATATATATGAATGGCGTAGCCAAGCTAAGCCCAAGGTTTTAGCATTTTCATTGATTCCAAAATCAACTACATTCAAATCATGTTGCAGATCGCGAACGTATTCCAATACCTTCGGATCGTTTGAATGAAACTTTCGTAATTCAAAACAACCAGACTTCAGTACAGAAGACACATCTTTGAAAAGACAGGCTGCTTCTTCGATTGAATGGTGAGCTGATTCATTTTCAGTGGCTAACTGAAAAAGACACCGTATCGCTAAGAACGATGAAGCAGCTTCACAATATGTAACAGTGTTCAGTTCATACACCGAGGTAGGATTATCGGGACTTTTTCGCCAAAAGATTTTTGGAAAAGATCTTTGTTCCGGGTGTATGAGAACTTGACGATACATCTTTGCAATATCTCCGCATACTACGTAAGCATACTCGCGAAACCTCAAAACTAGAGAAATTAACTCCCTTTGTGTTTTTATATTCAGTTTTTCTATATCAATTTTTCATTTCCTAGACTATGACTTCAACATCTGAATTGAAAACGAGTTCATTCAGAATATCGTACATTTGGTCCATGATAAACAATTGTCTAACCTCCACTATTACCGAATCGTGACACGTAGTAAACCTCTAAAACTTGAAATATAGGCTTCTCACTCATTTCCTCCGGTCACACTGGAAAATTGGAATCTGGTTCCAGTTTGTTACATTCGGCGATGTAGATTGCCAACTTCAATTTTGATATCGTTCCATTACTGATTTTTGAAAACAAGCAAACAATCCCCAACGATTCATCATTCGACACGTCTACAATTTAACAACATAGAGACCGGAAAATTTTGCAAGAAGATGGATGGATATTATGTTCGAAGATAAATCGGTTTGAACGAAGTATCCTAGAAGTAACCATATTCATACAAGTGCCCATTGGATGAATAAAATATATTCATCAATATAAAAAGAATACTGAATGTGCCAAAACTGTTCCGAAAATACTATGACCTGAATTTAATTTATTCCTATATATATTAGAGATCATTTCACATTCCTACTGAGTTAGACAGTCAGTCAACTTTGAAGAGAACAATAAGGAACTGTTTATAGTTTATACTCAACTCATAAATTATCAGGAGATGATCGCTGGCGATTACCTTTTCCCAGGATTAGCTCATTATTCTGTTTGATTCAATAAATATTTTGAAAAGTAACATATGTGAGTCGAACATTTCCTGTCAGCTAATCTTCAATAATTTCTTGCAGAAATAAACACTTTTCAATTGTCTTCTTTTGTTATTAGTTTATGTGCAGCATCGTTAGTAATATCCAACGATAAGTAATAAACATGCAATTATGAATTGTGTATTTTCCGTGGGCCATCAATTATTTAACATTACTGGAATTCTCTGTTGAACAGAAAATTTATTTGATTTCAAGTGTTTTATTATTTACCATACGAGCTGAAGAAATATCCTATGAAAATCAAATGATACAGATTCAAGAATTCATTTAAAAGCACTGTATCGTGAGATTTTTCATGTTATTAAAACACATCTAAGAAGTGGGGGCCCCCCTAATTTTTTCGCTATAAAAAAGAGTAGTTATTCTCTAATTACTCTTATGGATATATAAGAAAAAGGGAACACGGTGGGCCCTTGAATTTTAAAAAAAAAAAATCTTGCTAAGAGAATTGCGAATTTTTAAAAAAGGGGGAATCGGTCGATAATCGATTCGTTCAATAGTTGTTCAACTCATGACTACAAATTGCAAATTATACATTAAGAAAGTATTGCAACTAAAATGCTCGATCAAATCAAGAATTGATAGTAAATAGAAACTTGCAATCATGAAGCCTTGTCCGAAGAATCCATTGTATGGCGACACACATGTTGCGTTTTTGTGGAACTTTTTAGTGAAAATCTCACAATAAAGTGGTTTTTGAATACGTTAGTTATGGATTTTCATCAGGTATCGGCCAATTCCATCATATATAAAAACGTAAAAGTTGCTGACCCGTAAAAATTTGATTTTTATTTAATCTTTTTTGTGGAGCCCCTCTCCTGTGGAGGCCCCTGAGCAGTAGCCCCGCCTGCCCTCCCCTAAATCTGGCCCTGTGCGAGAGTTCAATTTTCCCCTCCAGCAGACATTGAAGCTGTTTTAAATCTTGTTATTTTTCGATATGCTAGACGGTCATTGTTCACAAAATTAGTTTGTGTTTGTTCACAATGAATTTAACACATGAAGAATAAGATATTCCTCTTGACTGTTCGACTGTTTCTATGAGGTATTCTCAACTCCGTTCTGGTTACTATGATATAGAAGTTGTTGTATTGTACCTATGGTTCCATCATATTTTCTTGAAACGAATCAATCCGATGATAACCATCGCATTTCAAGATAAATTTCAATTGAAGCAAACAAGAGCCTCTGCAATAGATGGAAATATAACAAATCAGTTTTGAAAAATCTGTTGATATCTGTTTTTCCGTTAATCAGTTATCGCCCCCCTAAGAACGACAAAACTCAGTGAATCATATTCGAAATAACTCACTGAGCATATTTAAAAAACAAATAATTACTTCTATGAATTTTCATTTCAGAATCATTTAAAACAAGTAGTAGCAGTATACTGGTTTGTGATATTTTGCAAGCTCGTGGTTTTGCAAATTTCATGAAATATTTTTCAATGATTTTCAATTCAAAGTTGGAGATTTTTACCTTACCTTGTTGAAATGTGGATTCCTCCATATCAATGAAAATTTTTCATCTTTCTGTTATTTCAAAAAGTATATTATTTTATGCAAAAATAATAGAATATTCAAGCTAATCTGGCGGAGAATTGTCATAGAGCCATCGAAAAATTCATAACTCAAAAACTACAAATCATCGAATAAAATACAGTGTCACCATTAAAGTGCGCACCATATGGGAAACTTTTGTCACCATTAAAGTGCGCACCATATGGGAAACTTTTTTTTCGAAAAGTTTCAATGAAGTTTAATTACAGCACTTGTTTGTGCTTTAAATTTAACTTGAAATGAAGCGGCCAACTGCGACCCACTGACGTTCAGTGTTTGTCAAATTCAACTTTTTTTTTGAAAAAAATTGAAAAAGTGCATTTCTAGATCGAATTTAACAAAAAGTTACTTGAATAAGTTGTGTCTACGGCAATTTTTTATCCATATGTCAAATTTTATGCAACTAGGATAAAGTTGACGTTTTGCTTATTTTTGACAGATATTCCCCTTTATTTTACAAAACAAGTTCGGTTAATTTTCATCAATCCATTTATACATACATAACAAACTCATCATGGAGTTTACCTTTTCTGATACAGTTTTACTTATACGGACATTTTTAGAGAGAAATTAAAATGTGCTATAAAAATTTTAACATGACTTGTGCAAAGTTTCACTCACTTGGCTATTTTCTTAAACAAACCTTTGATTTCGAAAAAGCAACTTAAAAAAAATGCAAATAATTTCGATAGAACTATTATTATTATTATAAATTTCAAACAACAATAATATTATAGAAAATACAAATGGGTACAAAAAATTACTTATTTATCTAAATGAGGTTGTCAAACACTTATAGCCTACATTTCAGTATGTCGTCCTTCACGTTCAATACAAATTATGGTTCTTCTACTGACATCTGTAACTGTACTTTTAATAAATCGGGGATTTATATTTCCACAGCCCTCGCGAATGGTATTTTCCAGATGTGTGTCAGTAAATGGTCTACTTCGATACACTTTTTGTTTCAGGTAACACCATAAGAAAAAGTATAAAGGCGTCAAGTCGGGTGATCTAGGCGGCCAATAATGTTCCCAGTTACGTCCAATAACTTTGCCTCTGAGCATTTGTTGGAGGGACTGTTTTACAGCAACCGTGTGATGTATTGATGCGCCATCAAGCTGATACCATAGGTCGTATATAATATTTAAATGCATATTATCTAAAACTTCACTAACCTCATTATTTAAAAGGTTGAGATACCCGACGGATGATAAATTTTCCCTAAAGAAAAATGGCCCAATTATTTGGTCGTTGAGTATCCCACACCATACATTAGTTTTAAAGGAATACTGAATACTGTCCATAAAATTAAAGTTGGGCTTCCTCATCATATTTATTTGGAGTGTGCTTTTTCTTAAATTGAGTTGTTACGGATCCTGTTTCTGTTAATTTCGACATTATACTTGACACAGTAGTATGTTGAACATTTTTTCCTGGATGCCGTTCATTAAAAATGTTATCTACTGCCGGTATGGTGTATTCTCACCACATATTAAAACTATTTCTATTCTTTCCTGAAGAGACAACATTATTGCAATAATAACTGTTGAAAATTTTACAAGTAAATCGACAACTTGACACTACCATAGCATGCATTTTGTTTGTCATGACCTACTTAAAAATTTTATTCAACGTGATTAAGCATCCTTACCCCCCTGGTTAGTGTTAATAAATAATCTGTAAATACTGAATATTGAAATTTTAATATAATTTCAACTCTAATAATTTTAATAATAACTATTGCAGTTTTTGAGTTGTGTCTGCTTTTTCAAAAATGAAGGTACTGACGTTTATTTAAGAAAATAGCCAAGTGATTGAAACTTTGCACCAGTCATGTTAAAATTTTTATAGCACATTTTTAATTTCTCTCCAAAAATATCCGTGTGAGTAAATATTTATCAGAAAAGTTAAACTCCATGATGAGTTTGTTATGTATACATAATTTGATGACAATTAACCGAACTTGTTTTTTAAAATAAAAAGGAATATCTGTCAAAAATAAGCAAAACGTTAACTTTATCCTAGTTGCATGAAATTTGGCATATGGATATAAAATTGCCGTAGACACAACTTTTTCAAGTAACTTTTTGTTAAATTCGATCTAGAAATGCACTTTTTCAATTTTTTCCAAAAAAATGTTGAATTTGACAAACACTGAACGTCAGTGGGTCGCAGTTGGCCACATTATTTTAAGTTAAATTTGAAGCACAAACAAGTGCCGAAGTTAAACTTCATTGAAACTTTTCTAAAAAAAAGTTTCCCATATGGTGCGCACTTTAATGGTGACACTGTATATATATATAGGAGTAATGTTGAGAGATTTTGACGTATCATATCCTGAAATTCCTCAATCAAAAGCAAATTGATCAATTCGACGTTATTGGACAGCTTTTTATGATCACTCCATAAACTCATCTCATGAATGAAGGAACAGCCCTATTTTTGATAATTGAGACCTTTTGAAATATACCGATGAAATGAGAAATATAAAATGAATCAGAATGTCTCATATATCATTTCAGTTCACCGAAACGACCACTGTCCAGAACATTATGACGTGACTTACCTGAATCTGACAGGAAGTGGAGGAATATGACGAAAAACCGTGGAAACCGTAGTTGCAAACAATCGTCCCCAATCGGCGATAACAGTGAGGGTTAGAGGAATCCCCACGAGGGCAAAGACGATGCAGAAAGCGCGACCTTCGGTTGTCATTGGTACGATGTGGCCATAACCTAAGAAAAAGCGTTTCGATCAATAAATATAAGGCGATATTCGGAATCATATTTTAGTATTATCTTTTTCGGAAATACAAAAAACACGAACTGGGTTTTTATTGCTTGTTACACGACGGTGGTCCCAAAATCACCCGGCCTGACCTACAGATAGCGGTAGTTGTTTGTAAAATGACTGTATAAGGAAGTACCTACACAATCTATAAAGCATATGTGTTAAGTTTGAAGACGCTGCATTGTTCAGTATTTGTTTGGAAGCCATTAAAAGCGAACGTTCTCGTTGAATTTGTGAAAATGGAGAAAATTGGACATAATAATAATAATAACGACTTCTAGTGATGGTTCCATACAATTACAACCAATCAAATGACAGGATTCAAAATCTGCGTATCATCGCAGAGACTGCTCTTCCATCTAACCGTAAGAACAAATAAAAACAGTATGCAATCAAGAACAGTGCAACAGCCCATACAACATCAGATATTCATGGAATATTCCGTCTATATCATAAAATAAAGGTATATATTCCATATATTCGTAGAATATTCTTGGAATATATACATGCCTTTAAAATATTCATAGAATATGCTTGAATGAATATGGCAGGATTATTCTCGAAAGAATGTGCATAAAATGTCAATAAATGGATTATTCCCCCGTGAATATTCTAAGAATATTGTCGATCGAATATACCATATGGTATATTCTTAGAATATATCCCCACGGTATATTTTGGAATATTTTGTTGATGTATTACTGGAATTTTCAATTATCTTATGATAACGTATTAAAATAATTCAATATTCAGAAACAAAAATATTTTTAGATTTTAATCGAATGCCCAACCTAATGTATATAACCCTAATAGTGTTAACCAGTTTTTGAACTCAACGCGAAGATTCTGATGAATTGCTCCAACTGCAACTGTTGGAAACGACAAAAAAATTTGAATGGGCCAATAAATGAACCAATTGCATCAATAAATCGGTTTATTCTCATCTTATTTGTCTTTTTGTTTTTGAAATTATTCAATTTACAAAGCGACAAATTCTGACAACAGAGAAATGGGAAAGTGAAAAATTGGACTGAACGTTTCTCATTGGTCAATTGAAGTGTAGTGCGCGACAGACAACGCTTATCAGCTTTACGTTGAAATCCACATTTGATATAACTTGACGGTTGACATGGCAGGTTCCCGTATGTAATGCATGGTGTATTGGTGTTATTATCAAAGTATAATTCTCTCATGTTTAGTGTACCGTTTATAGTTTGGGGTTGTCCAATTTGTAGTACAGCGAATAGTTTGCTTTTGCATCTTCAAACAGTAGAGTTGCATATTCAGTCTTTGAGAAAAGTAAGTGAAATACAATAGTATCGATAGTAAAGTCATGGTGATTAACCTACTATACATCATTTTAGGCCCGAGGAGAGTTGGTGAGTGGGATTTGTTGGTTTGACTAAGTACATGTTTAAACGTTTCAGTTTTGTATCTTCAGTAGAGAAAAGTAAGTGAATGACACATTCTTTTGTATCATTTGTTTTCATAATTTTTATCATTCTTTTTCAAGATAGTATCAATATGCCCAAAAGGAAGAAGAGTGGAACCTGGCCAAGAAACTGAAAACGTAACGAGCACTTTTCAACAAGGGAATGCAAGTTGCTATCCAGGTCATAAGAAGTTGTAAATGTTCATGAGGAACCTATGAGAAAAATATCTATTTGATTTTTATCCCAATTTTGTTTTGCCACTTCCAAATAGTGATAATGAACGTTAATGTACATTTTGTTCCAGGTATCAATATTGAAACACTGGCTGATGCATTGTTGGACAAATATCAGAAAAACTCTTCTGGTGAGCAAAGTTTGGATAACGTTAAGTAAGTGAAATTCATTGAAGAGCCCGTATCATAACACTTATTTAAAATACTTCATTTTTGGGTTCATTTTTGAAGTGAGAAATATATATCTCTCTCATTTCTTGATGTAATACATTTTCTCTTTTTCAATGAAATGATATATTTGTTATTTCTTAATTAGTGCTGATGAATTCACAGAGTTGTTATTTTAGTATATTTTTCGGTATACATTTTTTTGAGAGTAGAAACATCCTAATTTGAATACATTTCTAAATGTTGTAACATGACAATATTCAGGAATATTTCATTCAGTAAATAAATATTTTGAATTAGATTTATTAATTTTAATATTGGTAGAAACATCAAATATTTCATTGTATATTGTTTTTGAAATATATTTGTTTATGAATATTATTTGTTTTATTACTTAGGATATTCCAAGAATATGAATATTCTTGGAATATTCGAAATATTCCTAGAAAATTCATAAAATATGTATGAAGAATATTCTATGGTGATTCCCTATTTTATATTCCTGCAATAAACTATGAATATCCCTAATATTTTATGAATATTTCTCGGGTTCTATTCCTGGAATATTCTTAATAGAATATACCTCACATATCAATGGTTCGCCAGGACCACTTTCAGGGAATATTCTCCAGAAGATATAAATATCCATGGCATATTCATAGCATAATACAATATCCTCAAATGTATATTCATGAAATATTCCTGGAATTGAAATTGTATTGGAATTGGAATTGCGAAATTGAAATACAAAAAATATATATTTTTTGAGTTTGGAGAAAGGTTGATTAACTTCGACATGATTTGATTAGTTGAATCTATTTATTGTAGGAAGATATTTTTTATCTTTCGTTTGAAGCTTCCTAATGGCAGAGGTTTATATTCAATGGACATCCGATTATATGAAAGGTGAAAGATCCGCGATACGCGATCCTCGTACCCGTAATGAGCCTAATGCATGCATTCTGGAGCTTTTGGATTCTAAAACTGTCACTCTCCAAAATCCCCGGACCATAAACCACGTCTGCGCACTTGGCATGTGAAAGAACTAAAGCATTGCAAAGTATAATTTCACTTTTTCTATTCAGAAATGCTCTGTTAGAATATATCAATTTCAAATTTGCATAACCCCGTTTCAGAATTTGCAAAATGAGTGTTTTCAAACGAAGTCTGTTGTCAAGATATAAGCCCAAGTTTTTTGTAACTCCTTTTGAGGGATTTATGAGACCAGAACAACGATTTCTTGCCGCTGTTCTACTAAAGATCATGCCATTAGATGCATTAACAGATAGGCAATATTTAGTTGACAAAGATTGAGATCGGTATTAACTTGCCATAGGCTTCGTCAATTGAATTCTCGTCGAATTCCATGTACAGCTGAGTATCGACGGCATAACAATGCATGGTTACAAATTGCAGTGACCTATGAAATTGAGATGTGTATCTACTAAACGAACAAGAGAGGGTAAAATATTGAACCTTGAGGAACACCGTTTTCAATTTGTATTAAATCAGATTCTCCGTTATTATACACAACTCTTTGAAAACGATTTCAAAAGTTACTTTCTAGTAGTGCTACAGCATGTATTGAAAACCCTAGGTAGCCCAAAATAGCAAAGGGGAGCTCATGTTGTATGCAATCGAACGCCTTAGAATAGTCCCAATAATATCAGAAGACAGAGTTTGTTATTATCAATAGATCTGTGCACATCATCCATTATGTGGTACAATATTTTTATTCGATGTGCCTCAGCCCAACCAAAACAAAAGCTGTACTGGATACTACTCTGGGTGAGTATGATCCTTCCTTTACAACAGTGAAATATTGGGTAGCAGAGTTTAAACGAGGCCGTACGAGAGGCGGACAGGGGAAAGCTGTGTGTAAGACGGGTGCCGCGTTTGCTCACATTCAATACAGCAAATACAGTGTCGTGAAGACACTGCATTTGCTGTAAAGCAGAATTCTTGCGTCGTTTCATAACCAAGGATGAAACACACTCAAAAGGAAAAACCGATTTCAAAGAAGGCGAAAACCGTTTCATTTGTAGGCAAGATCAGGGCATCGAATTTTTTGAATGCGCGTGTGATAATTTTCATTGACTATCTTAAAAAAGATAAAACTATCAACGGCGAGTATTACGCAAACTTATCGCATCGTTTGAGTGAAAAAACCAAGCAAAAATGGCCGCATTTGGCTAAGAAAAAGTGTTGTTTCATCAATACAATGCACCAGCTCACAAATCTGATATCGCAATGACCAAAATTATCAGAAAAAAGGTGGAATTGCCACCGGATTATGTTCTGTTCTCGAACTTGAAAAAATGGCTATGTGGTCAAAGATTTTCCAACAATAAAAAAGTGATGTAGTCAGTTAATGGCTATTTTGAGGAACAAAACAGTTCTCACTAAAAAAAGTGGTATCGAACTTATTGAATGTCGTTGGGAAAAGTGTACAGAACTGCAAGGAGATTATGTTGAAAAATAAATACATTTTTTTCCGAAATTCTAAATTCAAAAACACATATTGTGCATTTGATAAGGCCACAATTGTTACATCCATGATGCAATCATGTGCTGTTTCGATCTGCCATATATATCATCAGAAGTAATAAACGCGGTCACAGATGCAAAGTTTGAGATCTGCCGGAAACAAGTAGAGTGAAAATAATGTAACGACGCGCCTTACAACGACCCCAGATAGAATTCAACTGCATCTCAGGTACAAAGCAAAGCTTTGACGTCAAACTCGAAATGAATAATTGCTATTACAAATTACAAAAAAAACATAACCAGAATACAATAAAATAGGTATTCTTCGAACCAAAATTGAACAAACATAATTTTGACAGTGTCAATATAGCCAATACGAGTATATTTTTTTAATAGATATGGAAATCTTCATCAAATTGACTGCCATTAACAATCTCTTATGAAATTTCCCTGCGGTTACAACTATCTCACTGTAATTAATCTATTATTACCATGATAAGGCAAATTTATCGACCCAGACTCGTTTGACGAATTCAAATGTGAACTATCTCATCTAAGATCGGTCACTCAAGACAGTTAAACGACAGTTAAAACTGTACTTGTGTGGCTATTTTGGTCACAGTT